TTTCGGCAGTCCCAGCCCCGGGGAACCCGGTGGGGATGTGGGTCCAACTGTGCTGTCCGGGGACAGGGACAGGGACGGCGAAGGGTTTGCCATGAAGTGAGCTGGGCTGGTGGGCAGCACGTCCCTCTCTGCGACTTTGAGCCCCTGAACACCCGTGACTCAGTTTCCCCAGTGAGTGCCAGCACATGGCCATGCCACAGTGCTGGGGACACGGCCTGCCAGCTGCAAGGCAGCCACCGAAGCCCCACGGTGGTGCCTGCTGAGCGGTGCTGTGCAGGTGTCACAGCAGAGAGGAGCCTGAAGGTCTCCCTTGGCCAAAACCCTTCGTCTCCATCCCTCCGGCGAGGCGTGAGTAGCAGCGCGGCGTGGGCAAGTTGCAGCCTGGAGAGCCGCTGTCTCGCACTGCCTGCAGTCTCGGTCGCGCACAGGCGGCTTTTGAGTCCAGGGCCTCCCAGCCTGGTCTATGGGGAAGCCCTTGGGGGACGCTCTCCCTGGTGGTGATGGTTGGGTCACCAGAGGGCTGTGACAGATGGCACAGGCACATCTCTCAGGCGGTGAGGCTGGGCCCGTAGTTGAGTCCTTCCTTCCCGCTGATGAATGACGGGGCAGGGCTGTGCAGGGAAGCGGAAAGACCGGCTGTCCTGCCGGCGCTCCTATGGGACCTCTTTGGGAGTGACCCTAACCCCTCTCTCCGCCTCTTCCCAGGTGGCCGATGCTGGTGCTACAAAGGCTCCACCTTGGAACAGGGTTTCCCCCAGAAGTGCAGCGCTGGTGGCCTCCCGCGGCACCCCGACACGGCCCTCTACTTCCAGCAGCTCCGGCACCTGGTGCTCTTCAAAGGGCCCAAGTACTTCGTGGTGAGCGAGGAGACCCTGCATGTGGAGCCCTACTATCCGCGGAGCCTGCGGGACTGGGACGGGCTGCCCCCTGGCACGACGGGCGCCCTCAGGCACCGTGATGGCTTCATCTACTTCTTCCGGGATGACCAGTACTGGCAGTTCGACCAGGCGAAGCTGCAAGTGGTGGCCACCGGCAAATGGGCTGCGGAGCTGCCGTGGATGGGCTGCTGGGATGCCAACGGCGGGGAGGGCCCTCTTTTGGGCGCGCCCACGCCCACACCATTGACTCTACTTGAATTCCCATCTCCAGGCGGCTCGGCAGGGACCGGTGGGGGCAGGGGGGTGCCCCTGCCTGTGGGTGACCAGCTCCGGTCTCCCCATGGGCCGCTGGAGCCCTGGAGGAGCTGCTTTCCTGGAGACCCATATCCTGATGGAGCGCAACCTGGAGGACATGTCCTTCAGCCCAGGCTGGTTTGATAGGGCCAAGTGGGCTGGGATTTGGGGATTTTTTTTTTTTTCCTAAAAAAAAGCCATAAAGAACAGCGTAAGACTGCAGCCCTATTCACTTCTTTTAACTTTCGGACTATTTGTAATGCCTTTCTTTCAGACTGGGACTGGTTTTTATTGGCACTTTTTTGGGGTCATTGTCCCGTGATCACGCAGCGAAATGCCTCACCGTTGGTTAGCTTGGGGTGCGGGTGGTTTCTAGTCGATGAGGAGAGACTGAGAATTTGTGCCGAAAAGTGTCATTTGGAGAAAACCGTGGGTGGATGCTGAACTCGGCAGGGCCATATTGCTGCAGCTTGGTTGTCCTACGGGTTTGGGCTGGCTGGTTGGATTCTCTGCTGTCTAATACGGGCTGTGCTCACCTTGCAGCCTTTCTTGTACACAGAGAAAGTATCTGTCCTCGCTCTGGCAGCCTCCCTGCAAGAGACTCGAAGGGTCAGAGCATGTGTGAGTGCTGTGCCCCTCTGCCGCAGCGGGCTGAATTTGATTTACAGGAGGAGGAGGGAAGAGGACAGGGTGGAGAGGACAGACGGGCACGCAGGTGCATGCAGGCCCCCCAGGACACCTTGCCCACCTAGGGCTCATTCCCGCAGGAAAGCAGGCTCCCCCTCCCCGAAACGCCGTTGGGTCTCACGCAGCGCTTAACCGTCCCCCTCGGGGAAGGACCGTCGTCTCCGAAAGCTGGTGGGGGAGCGTCGGATTGCAGGGGCTCAAAGCTGGTGGGAGCAAATAGGGCAGACGGTGCTGAGCGGGCCAACGCTTCAGTTTCTTAATTGTCTTTCGATTGGAGAGATCTGGAAATCTTCACGGAGCTGGTGCCGCCAAAGGAAAGGGAAGAGGAGCGCCCGCCCTGCCGGGGCTCAACGCCGCCCCCCCGCCGCTGCCTCGTCGGCTGGGCGAAAGCTGGTCCCGCCGCCCCGGCAAGCCCTGCACCATCGCCAGCATCCGCAGCCCCACGGACGCCGGTTGCCCATGGCACCCTCTGCTCACCCTGCTCGCCCTGAGACCGTGCCGGCGAGGAGGGCAGAGCTGCCCTCGCCCCGGGCAGGGGGCCGGGCCCTGCCTTGCGTGAAGGCTTTCAGTGCTGCAAAACGCCGGTTGCAACTTGTTCCCGGGCAGGCCAGCTGTTCACGGCGAGTGTTTCTGTCTGTTTGCCGTGATGTTTTGGGACCGAAGCGTCGCTGCGCAGATGTGGGCAGCTCGTCTGCGCTGGGCTTAACAGCTCAGGGGATTTACCAGTGCTGCCAAAGAGATGGGGCCTCTTGATTTTCTTTGGAAATGAACAGTTAATAGTGCACCACGGGTTGCAGTGACTCCCAAAGGCTTGGACACCTGAGGACCCTTGAGAGAAAAAAAAAAAAAAAAAAAAAAACCGCTCTGGATATTCAGTGTTGGGATTTCTGTTTGTTTTTGTGATGCTTTTTTTTTTTTTAAAGCCACTCTCCTGTTTCTTGGAGGGGCTGCGTTGAAGATGCGTGCATCCACCTGGGATTGCAGTGGGCACTGCTGCTTTATGCTAAGCTTCCCTGCAGAAAAGGCTGTTTTCCGGATCAAAGGGAAGAGGTAGGTCACGCTGAGAAATAGCTGTATAAAGCACATGGTGAAAAAAGCATGAAGACTCACTCCCTGCCTCCTCCCAAATTAGTGGGGCTTTCTTTGTGCCTCCTGACGTGTTAATTTTCCCCCCCCCGCAGGGCGTTTTGCATGTGCTGCCCGTGGGCTGGGATGTTTCGGCGCC